CATAGTCATCATTTTCGTTCTCATCCACTTCCTCCGTCTTCACTCTCACATTCCCCTTTCCTGACTTGCTGCCTTGCCCTGCAGTGTTCTTGGGCTTTTGGATCAACCACAGTAGATCGGGATGGCCCCGTTTGAAGTAGGGATTCGCATATTCGCTGGGACTCTTGTTCTTCCGCTCGCTGGCTCGCATCGAGTTGTCGGACAAGCCCACCTTCTTATGGAACCCGTACATATTCAGCTGGCGAACAAAAGAAGCATAGTTATTGTGCTTGAAGAGTTCGGGAATCAACGTTTTGGCGAATTCGTCTTCGTCCAACACGATGAAGGAGTTTCCATCATCAGACCATCGTATTAGATCGGTATTTTTCGATTCGTCGAGGAAACTAAAATGACAGCAGTCAGCATCGTGTTTGACAGGCCCATCTCAGTAGTGGCATACCTGCTCAACTTTTGTACGAACGGGGGTATCTGTTTTCTTTTTGCCTGCGCTTCTCTCTTTGCGACCAATGCCCGCCGATAGAGTTCATCCAGACTTTCTCCCCATCCCCCATGTTCTCCAGCGCCACTGCTATGATCGGAGTAAGCAGACGGCGTTTGTTCATAACCGCGACCCCTATTGACTAGCTGATTCGGTAGCTGTCGGCGAGCAAGCTGGTTAGATGCGGTGACCGTGGCTCCCGGAACGTCTTGATTTGTCGTATAAGGCGCGACGTTGTAAGAACCGGCGTCAGTGTAGGGCGGTGTTATGACATTGGGAGGGTTCTGGCCCCATTGCAAAAACTGATCATTCGATAACTGAGCTCCAGGATTTGCGGCGGGGTAGTTCGAAATTGGGCTCAGTTGGGGATGAACAGTAGGGGTTGTGCCAGGAGCAGGTCTTTTGCGAGTTACACCTTGAGAACTCATTACAGGCGACAGACTTGACGACCTCTGCTTGGTCAGAAAGTAATCGCTCGATCGACTATTGCGGTATTCTTTGGTTGGAATCAGGCCACGGGCAACGTTGAAGATTTCTGAGATTTGACGCCAGAGGATGTGAATCGCTTCGAAGGGTTGTCCAGTGCTCGGTGGACTTGTAGCCGGGGAGAGTGGAAGGAAATGGCGCAGTGGCACCGCCTGTCAGGATAATGGCAACAAAAGCCCGATCGTAAATGTCTTTTTATCGCCCAGAGGGAACCAAGGAACACTTGAGGACAGCGGGATGAGGGCGGCGATGCTGACGGCAGGAAACGAGAGTTATGGATGGCGGAGACGCTACAGACGCGACAGACGCCTATCGCAGCTCTGAATGCAACGATGGACAGCAGACGAAAGCACCGGGAGACAATTCCGCAACGACCCAAGGATAATGACAGTATTGCTACTGGATACAATCCCGTCTAGGCGGTCGAGCGCGGCGAGCGCCAAATGTCTGCTGACGAACAGAGGTTGTGGGTCGGAAAAGGGGACAGGCACGATGTACACGATGCCAACTGACGCTGTACAACCAAGATGAGAATGATAAAAGGCTGTATGATGAGGGGAAAACGTCCAGGTTGATGCCGAATGCTTGGTAGGAAAAACAGCAAAACTTAAGACGGCCAACGAACTGGCAAATCCCTCTTGTCGAGATGGCTTGGCGGTGGAGGATGAGGTCAATCCTGCTTTTGACTGCCCAAAAATTGGCCTGCTGATTGGCTTCTGTGATGAGTCAGCTCTCTAGTGCCAAAAGCACGTGTTGCTGACCCGCTTCACATTGAAACCCAAAATTCTCTGGAGGTCATCACAAAAGGCAGAAATTGACCGCTCTAAGGTCGATATGTAATATCTTTCAGGCTGCTGAGCTTCTACGATTGCAGAATATGTGTTACTGAAATCGAGTTGAGACCTCATAAGGGGGAGTCATTCTCGATTTGCTATATACTAGGTACTATTCTATCAAAACTGGCACTGCCCGTCCGAAGCCTATCCAGAGTGCCAGCCCACTTCAATTAACTGGCGGGCCAATCATCTCACGCTAACTTAGAACCGAGTGGCCCTCTTTACTGTTTCTGGCCTTAGGCATATCTTTGACCCAAGATTTGCGGCCAACTTTTCTGAAGCTTTTTCTCATACTCCTCTGTCTTGCGCTGCCTTTGTGTTTCGTCTTCGGGTCTAGAAGCTTCAATTGATTTCCATTGATTTCCATGTCCCTCTGCGTATTTGCACCCCGATGCAAGGGATGATCCCAGAAACGGACTCCGATACATCCCCTAGAATGTCCGATAATACAGTCAGATAGATGAACTACTTCTTCCTTACAGTGTCACATCGTCGCCTATAAGTCTCTTGAAATGCTCCAGTATCATCTGCCATGAATCGGAACTGTCCTTGCTGAATTGCGTGACTTTCCTAACAGCAGCCAAATCCGCATCCATCCGAGTCCTGTTGGTCGTGCCGTTCAAGACAGTTGTGTTACCCAGGCTCAGGACAAGACAGTATAATGCTGCTGCAGGACTGATCTCTGCCTGAGTCGCTAGTGATTGAACCGCGTCTGACCGGATTAGTTCCGGATTGGCAGTCAGAGTCCAAAAGCTTTGGTAAATGATGTCGTGGGTCCGACAAAAGGCGCGCACGGGGACGTCAAATCGCGTATCTGGATAGAAGCGATTCTGGACCACCGCGGGTTTAACCGTCGCCCGAGCATAAATTTCCTTCAGGATTGGTAAGGTACAGTTTGATATACCCAGGTTGCGGATGCGATGAGGCACGTATGATTCAAGCGTGAGCCAAGCCTCCATAGTCTCAGCCATTGTGGACAGAGGCGAGTGAAGAACAAACGTATCAATGTAAGCATCTTCAGCACTCGACGAGCCTTCTGAGGGGCGAAGATTGTGGAGAGATGACTTGACCGAGGCATGAACCTGTTCTGTCACTGGAGTTTTGGGATTATAGGGCATTTTATTGGGGTCCTGCCCTTGAACGGACGTAAATTTTGTCTGAATCTATTCTTACTTCAGCAAGCATCAAGACGCCGTCATACTTAGGCTTCAACTCACGTATAATTCCTCCCGTCGAAGTAATCCATCTTGAATCGCTCTGCGAATACCTTCTCCTACCAAATCCTCCTGGTAATGCTTTGGCTGAGCAGCCGTATCGACCGCTCTGAACCCTGCACTCAATGCTTGGTACACCAAATCTGCCGTCCGGTCTTTCTTCCATGCTGTGCCGTATAGGAAGAGCGGAAGATGAACAGGCGGTGCCTCTGGCACCGAACGCAGAATGTATTTATCCCATGCCATCTTACCGATGGCAGCTCGCGCCATGAAAACCTAGTAATATTCACAATGGTATGCACGGACTGAACACTGAAGCAGCTCCGAAGGCTATTATCAATGAACTTCCAGATCCTGAGGTGGTTTGGCCGATAGTCCGAGGAACAAGTTGTGTAGGGTTCGGTGGTTTTTGCGGAGGGGTTGTTGATTCCTGGCCAATCATGCTGCATAGTCCACATATATACTTGACCTCATCATGATCTAAGTCTTCTTGGGCATAAAGCCATAGTTAGGTTCCGCTCTAAGTCCTTGAAAGCGATAATCTAATCGAATGCGAACATATCAGAACATGATAAGATGCCGGGAGAAAACCGGCATCTGGGATACGGACATATTCAGCGATCTTTCCGTCTACAAAAGTGCATTTGAGGCCAATTTCAAGGTATCAAGACGACAACGGGCGCTTCTTCCCGTATGGTATTCCTTAATCTACTGGCTTTCCTGCCGTTTGTCCGCCGAGATATCCGGTAGAATCAGTCCTGATGCCTCTCAACAACAGTTGATGTTACATCTATGGTAGCAGAACATCGCTTGACGGCTAACGTCTTTCACAGAAGAAGTCTCTTTCAACTAGGCAACATCTTTTTTCCCTTCCCTCTAAACGATTGTCATAAATGTAATGATATTATCGCTGTACTGGAAATAATCTATATATAGCGGAGAGGCTGTGCAGTACCCCAGTTGCGGATCTGCATTGATTTGAACCTTGAGCCCTTGGGCTGCGAATCCTGTGCAGGAGCATGCAGGAGGAGCAGCACTGTAGAAGCCTATCCCATCATTGATTATTCTTAATCGGGATTCTCTCAATCCATCGCTGTGTCGTCCATGGTTTCTTCTAATGCAATAACTTATCTTTGAAACAGAACAGCGATCTTTGAATGGCATCATGGACTCAACACACTCCTCAGTCGCACCTCAGAACATCGAGTAATGATCCATTCCGCTGTTTAGTGATTGCAGGAATTAGTGATTGCAGGAGCCAAGACCGCTGAGTTGGAAGCATTTTCCAACTATGGTATCCATTGCAACGATCATCTCGACCGAAGACAGCACTGGATGTATTACGATGCTGGGATTTTGGATTCTGAGCTCTCAACTCATTACTCATAGCAGACGCAGCCACAATAATTGACCCACACCATACAACTTCTTTAGTTTCTCTGGGTCAATCACAACCTAGGTCATTGACTATCTCCAGGGTTCATCTGCAGTCATGAATGGCGGCAGTCCCCGCCTTACCCGTCTAGCAGCGATGAACGCATTCTTGGCTGGCATAAACCGGATCAATGGATTATCAGTATTCCAGGCAGCTGCTTTCCGATGCTAGAGAAGGTGGATATCCTGTGCCAATCTTCAGGCTCATTGCTCAGATATGATGCTGATGCTTGGCATATGAATCCTGGAGAGGCTTAGAAACGCGTTTGTTTTTTTCGCAGCTGACCGATGGAGCAGATCAACCACTTCACCTGTTCTATTTTGGATTTCTCGGCAGATCAGACCGCTGTGGGATATGGACTCTGGGCGATGATATCGTTGATTTTGGAGCCTGGCGATCAAGGAAGACACGAGCAGAGGTATGGACAGCATCAGTATTAAATGGCGCTGAAATCCGCTGGAGAGTCTATCTCCTCAAACACAAGAGATATACAAAATCCTACTTTCAGTCCCATCAGTCCAATCCTTTTCTACAACTCGAATCCAGCAACAATGCGCCCTTTGCAACTCCTCGCTCTTTCTGGCCTCATGCTCGCCAGCAACATTGCGCTCGCAGCCGAGCTCGACCGCGATGATGTCCCTAATCGCTGCTGGGACGTCTGCGGTCCAGTGGTGGGCATCGCCCAGCAGTGTGATAACACGCATCGCGATGAAGACAGGGCCGAAATGAAGTGCATCTGCGACTGGAACCAGGCACCTACTTTGGTCCCCCTCTGCGAAGCATGCATCGCTCAGTTCAGAAACGACACTCGCAATGACAATGGCCGTGGCAATGACCGTGACAATGACCGCGAGGAGATCCATGACAATGGTATGGGGATTATGCATGCCATGCGCCTTTCACAAACCATGAATAGAAACTGATACATATCTGTACAGATGCATACGATATCCTGACCTCCTGCTCCTTTTCCACTACTAGTTATAACGCGGCTGCTGCAACCTCTATCCTGAGCACTGCTACGGCTACTATCAGCGCAACTGCGACGAACAGTGCCGGCAGCTCAAATGGATCCGGCAGTAGTACTGGTAACTCGCAGCCCGGCAGCACCAGCACCGGCGGCAACGCTCAACCGACCAACAATGCAGCGGCTGGCTCTGCAGTCCCGAAAGCTGCGTCTGTGGCGGCCGTTGTGGGGTTGATCGGTCTTGCTTGGTTGTGAGGATCATCTAATGACCATCTCCGTGACGGAAACAAGCTAGGCAGGGGCATTTTGGGCCGAATTTCTGATGATCCACCTGGTTATTGATGAGATGATGCTTTTCATACCTGTTCTGATGATTCGAGTTGCGTGATTTTCCTCGCAGGTACCTGTCTACACCTTCAGTCTTCAGCATGCCGCTGTAGAGCCTTATATGGGAGCACTGATTCAAGTGACTTTATTCATACCGATTTTTGTGTCGCTCCTGAAGTCAAAGAAAGCACGATTTGCGAGTAGATATGTACATTTCGACTACGCTATAAACTGCAGTCATTTCAGCAAAATGTGCACATATCAGAGTATCTGTATGAACAGGGGTTCTTCAGGAACTTTGTTTCAAGAACACATAATTCATTTCGATAAGATATCTATCTACATCATTGCGCAGTGTTGCGGATTGTTGTGGAGCATCTCTGCTAACCCCTTACTTCGTCCACATCACATATGCATAGGAGTACATCTAAGCGGACTTTCTGACTGGCTCGACTTGGTTATCTGTTAAGTTTTGTAAAGTCCAGGGGTTTACCGTGTCAGGTTGCCCGCCATGGAAAGGTCTCATATAATTTCGACTAGATAGCAAGGCCGAATGGACGTAGTGACCTGATCTATTTCTGTTGGATTTTCCAGGTCACTGACTGAAATCGGCTTTCGTGGTCAACTCGAACAGGAATATATCATCAGAGGCACGATAGCCTCAGTAGATAGAACGAGCACACAATTACGGCTGCTCATATTCGAGGATCGTAAGAATGATTAACCGATTCCAGGGAAAATGTGAGAAAGTAATCAGCTTCTTGTTTATTGTATACTTCCCGAGATAATGCGGTAGGCTGACAAGTGAAAAGCTAGTCATAGATATATATATATATATGTGGTCTGCAAAGAGAACTGACGCTTGCTGGATATATATTGATATCCAGTTGCGAAGCGAAATGCATGAGCGAGGCTTAGAAGTAACCTGCATACTCGGTCTCTCTGGATTCGAGAGTGCCCACTACTCCATTGGCCGAGTGGTATCATTCTACAATCTAATGCTTCAGACCCGACTCATATGCAATAATGCAAGGGCTGGTTCTAGTCTACCCCAAGAAGCACAGCGAATGTCAATCCTCATAGGTCACATTACATCTGGTTGCTGCTGATATCAATGCCTGCGATTATGATGCAGATACATGATTTGATATCATAATGTCCATGTTGGTTCAAGTACTTATGATAGGATATAGGTATATATATTCATGTCGTACCACTGTACTTGGTTTGCAGATCAGAGAGCATCCAGCTCTGACATCCATCAAACAAGCACGAAAAGCCCAAAAGAGCGAGCACAGCCAAAAAAAAAGAGCTTGTGCAACCACCGTCAGCTGCCACCCTGTCCTGTCGTTTACATGTCTGTTCCTGTGGTCTATCGTTCCTCTTTATGATAAGTTAGAGAGGCACCTTGTGGCGTTCTACTAGCTATCCGGTGGCGAGCAGGGATGATGCAGGCTGCCTAAGGTACCCTGCTCATGCGCGCGTCTGCATCAATGATTGCACAATCCCAGTCGAATCAATAATCGATCAGCAATAGTGCTACAGTAGACAATCTAAATTGACATCACGCAGCGACGACATGTTTGGTAAGCGGACTGGACATTATACGTGCAGCAGCTCATGATGATCATGTCCTCTCCTCCGTCAGCTCCTAGTCCCCAGTGGCAGTGGCAGTGCCAGTTGGTACAAGTCGAAGTGCGAGATGACCAGTTTCCATGCTTGCTTTTTTGACATTGACCATGCGATTGCCGGCGATAACTCGAACCTCAGTTCTTGATCAGCAGTGATGGTTGGACAGCACCAGGAAGAAGTCTGGCTACTCTCTACATTTATGCAGAGCAATAAGCATCAGTTTCTTGATGATTTGACGACATTCTATGCAAGATGAACGACAGCAGCGTGTACCCATCTGACGCTTCTCACTGGACCTCGGAGGATAGACAACACTTGCCGTAAAGTGATTAGCATCGAGACGAGCCCATACTCCATAGTCATGCCCCGTTTAGGGGGATGGTGTATGATGAGATTTGTCATAACCTCGCCACGGCCGAGTGGATCATGCGGTTTTGTTGCCATGTATGGCAGGATGACACCGTATTATAATGTCACTGTAGACACAAGTGACAATACTAATGAGAAATCCTTGGCCCTCATTTCACAGGCTGATGGATTTTTAGCATTGGTGCTGAGCGTGACGAAATTAGAGCAACGCAAGTTTGCACTCGTACACTCCTGCGTATGTCTTTCAGTCATGTTGGATTTCGAGTATTCCGAATCTGTTATAGGCGGATTTAGGATTATGGAGGGCCGCTGAGGCCTGTGGCTCACTGCCATCACCTGGTAAAGTTACTATACTTGGTCTGGTGGCTTGATTAATTAATACAGTAAATTGGCCATTCCTTTTCTCCAGCTGCGAACAGACTAAGAATATTCTACGATACGCTTGGAGAGTCCGTTGCCGGGATCATCGAAGGCAGTCCCTCCGGAAGCCACACCGCGGGACTAACTAGAGCACTACCTAACGTTTAGTGGTGAATGGTGAGGCGGGACTGCTGGGGCGAGTAGCGGAATTGGCCACAGCATCGGGAGTCTGGCTGTGGTAGCCTGTAAGCTGCAAGGCATGCTTGCTATCTCCTACATATTAGTAGGTTTATGGTGAAGTTAGCTGCCTACATTCTGTGAAGAGCTTCTGTGGGACTGAATTCTACCTTACTCTGTTAAAAATGGTGAATAAGCTCTTCAAATGAAGTCGAACATTAAATCTTTCATAGCGAAGCTGTTGACCAGATTTGAAAGGCCCCAGTTTTCATTGAACATCTCCAGGCCATGGTTCTGGTCGCACTCTAGCGTTCTTCTAGCCTGTGGTCTAAGGAGTGAATCCCTTCCCATAGCTAGAAATTGGCGACTGAGAGCGGATCCCTCCCAAAGGTCATTTCTCTTCGCATATTTTGAATGGAGCTGATGGCATTTCCTTGACATCATTCGTCGAAAAGGTGATGGATCATTCCTGGATCTTCTCCTCCATGGAGAATTGCGAAGTTAGAATAGGGGTTACGGGGACGGAAGATGTACTCCGGACGGGGCCCATTCCAGGTACTATTGATATTTGACACAGACGGTCAACGGGGAGCCATGAGGGAAATTGTTCGAGAAGCCTTGTGCCTCAGATAAATGACCGTTTGATTTGAGTGTTCCTCGGGAGAATTTCTTTTGAAATTTTGCATTGTTCAAGTTGACGAGCGTTTTCTTTGTTTTCACAACGCCGGGTGCAGTAGTGTTCGCCCGCCGTCAGAAGGAGCTCAGGGGCTTAAAGCTCGGTGCAACGGGATCACGATACTTGCTCTGTTAGACATAGGCCATGTTGCCAATCGACTACTTTTCATAGCTCTGTCTATCAGGCAGCTATTGGTCTTGATCATCCGCTTACAGTCAACCCAAATCGAGCAAAGTAGCAAGAGCTCGTGTGGGTGTCTGCTTGCGTTGATCAACTTGGGCCAACTAACTCGCCCAGGAGAAGCATCCCTTGGCAGTAGTCTATATTAGACAGGCCCTCTCAACCCACAGTGGCGGATCCTACGTAGAATCTAGCTTAGACTCTAAACGTGCATTGGTATCAGAGTCCCAGGCACCAGCTCAGGGGAGAAACTGTCACTCGGGAGCTAGAAACGCCAATCACTGTGGAAATCGAAAGCCCCAAAAGAAATACGTACTTCTGGTATTGCCAGGGAAGTAATCAGTTTCAGTCTCAAAATGATGGTCCGCCGTCCATAATACTTATTTCATGAAAGTAACAAGACGGTTAAGTGGCCGAAAAAGCTCCGATTAGGGGGTAAGGGGAGCACAAGGTTGCAGGCAAGTCAGAGCGTCCCGACTGCCAAAGTTCATTTCCTGCCCCGTGCTGTTGGAGGGGAGTCTCACGAAGGAGGCGGGGTGTCGTGGAAGGACAAAAGAGACACTCCTTTGGCTGATTTGTGACTGGTATCTATACAGGGGGAAAGGAAGGCTCACCAAGACATCGTTCAGGAATGGATTCTCAGAATGGCCACCATTCTGGAAGAGAGAAATTCAGGTCGGATCACTGCCCAGCAGACTAGACCATTACATGATTAGACTGATTGCATGTACTATGCAGTCAACTACACTCCTCGTGTATAGTATTAATAGATAGAGTGGGACATTCTAAGAGCGTGTTAATAATAATGGAAGAGAAGGAGCTCCAAGACACAAGAGGGTCCAGGGGCAAAGGAGGGACGGAGCGTAAGGAAAAATCAATAATACCAAGGCAGATAGACCAGTTTAGACTCCTACTTGGCTCGAAAGTCGTCCAAATCAGTACGGGAATATAAAGAACATCTGCTGCCGAATGCTAAGGCACCTGTCTTAATACCTACATGATCTGAATATCTATAAGTACAGCGTTCTTGTTCTTCTCTTCTGGTTGGCCATAATTCAATGTTGCTTTTTTCTTCCTCATCTTATTGATTCTGTTATAGACCCCGAGTCTCAATCTGAAGACCTCCTAATTGGAGTCATACTTATAGTTTGTTGAACCATTTACCCTCTTGCCCTCTGCTTTTCCTCTGTTGCATGCCGGCACGTCAAAAAGTAGGATCAAGCATCAAGCAGGACACAGGAGTCAAGAGCATTGCTGCGAGCCTGCAAGTGGATTTGTATCAGGATCAGATACCGATTTCTGTCAGGTTAAACAAACCCAAATCATCCACTACTGCGCGTCTCTTGATCGTCCCGTCGTCGTTCCGTCCCCCGTCAGCATCAGCCCGTCAACACTGACGCTCATACTCATCAACAAGCTTGCATTGCTTTTGTCGAATCCAATAAAGCGTTATTTACCAGAGAGCACCGAAATATTCAAACTAGAGCAGTCGGTTCTGTTGCCCAGCTGGACTCCTGCGCCCGCTCTATAATAC